TGAGATAGATAAGAAATGAAAAAGTTTATTCCTTCTATATATGGAAAAACTGCTCATCGTAACGCAACTACATTTCGCCGCTAGAACGCGAGTTTTGTTGCACCTTGCATTCTTTTACCGATTTTTCGCTCCAAACGCCATGGACTCCGTTTCAAGCGGGCAAACATGAATCCGAGAATCAATTTCTACCCAGCTCGGTGCATCCTATGTGCAAGTGAAGCGTGTCCTGACGTGGCAAGCATATTCGCTACACAGTGTACGGTGCATTCCTAAGAATCGTTCCCCATATGAACCATCAACGTGTGTCTTTCGATCATTTTAACATTTCAACTTCAGATATAAATTTGCTGAATTTGTTAAAACGATAGAAAGGCAGCCACGTTGATGGCTCATATGGGACCATCCTTGGGGATGTAGTTTGGGGCACTGCTATCCTTCTGCTTCCATTACACCTGCAAGCAACCTTTCGCGGCGCACAGTTCGGACAGGGACTTAATGGGGAGCCTACTCTGTAGTATGCTGTCGACTCTCACTTTTTTAGATTAGGCTAAACGATGGATTGAATGAGCATTGTTGCCCGAAGATCGAACCTATTTTGCCTCCTCTTTCGTGTGGTAGTGAAAGATGGGCTTCGGAGTGGTTGAAATATTGAACTTTGAATCCCCTTTGTGCACAAGGCAGTACCCTATCAATCAAGAACTTTTTTGGCTCTTTTTGAAGTAAACTCAAATTTTTTTAGTCGCTTCGAAAGGTGTTTGCGTCTTCGGTGTCATTGCGCATGAGTTGGGAATAATGGCAAGTAAGCGCAAGTAGTAAGCGCAAGTCACGGTAGCCTTCATCACTCAACATTGCTAAGGCGAAGTGGTTGAAAATCCAAGCCAAAAATGTGGTCAACGAACAACATTACTTTCCGAACTCTCCTTTCAGAAAGCATTCAATTCCTTGTACTATATAATTCAGGCGCTTTTTCTCACTGTAGTAGTTGGGTATTAGAAAATAGATACATCAGCGCTCGTATTTTCTAAAAAAAAGAAGCAAATCGAAGAATTACACGATTTGCTCCCTTTTTTCAAAAAAAAGCGCGGTGTTGTAGGTGGAAAAATGGCAGCAGCGGCATGCAGCAGTTTTCGACGGCTTAAGAGCTAAGGAGCAATGTTTCACTACAGAAACTTCGTCAAGGCTGTTAGCTGAAGAAAAATCCACGATGATTAGAAACAATGAGGGCGAACGCTGTTGCTAACAAATCGAACTCTATTTCAAAGCGTTTTAATTACTCACCATGACGCTTTTCCCTCCGTCTTATCGGTGATCATCCAGCTGGATGCGCGCATAGCATTGATAGCAGAGTTTGAGCCTGTTTGAAGGTTTGTGAGAGACGGTGGTACAGTAGTTTAATATCCAACCACTACAATGAGAAAAAGCGCCTGAATTATACTGTACAAGAAAATGCCTTCCGAAATGAGAATGAACATAATGTTGCTCACAGATAAGTAGAAATAAAATGGTGTATGGTCGGCCAGTTTTCCAATGGTTAGTAACAAAAAAACCAAAGAAAAAAAACTTGTAGACTAATCCAATGTTAGTGCTGCCATCATCAAAAAAATATCGCTCCGTCATAAATGTCATGTTTGAAGGGACAGACGAGCAAAACACAATGATTTCTAGAAAAGAAATGAACAAAAAAGGAAAAACAGTTTCAGTAGTTATAAAAATTCTTAACTTGCAACAGATCGACTTGCGCTATTCTACGTTTGTAGGTAGCTGAATTTCCAGACAACAGTGCAGTATGCGGCAATCTGCCAAGCCACTCAGTGTTCTGTAAAATAGAGTATTAGAAGTTAAAAACGTTTCCTGTAAATACGTGGATAGTGTTTATTAAACCCACTCATCCTATTACTAGGCCTGAAAATCCAGTACTTACTTGCGTTGAGTTTGATTTCTTTACGAAAAAGACGAAAAGCGAAAATGAGGTCTAGATTTGTCCTTCCAGATTCCAAGCTTTTCATTTGCCAAAAACTTGAGGCGGTTCTCATAACTGGACATCTCATCAAAAGCTAATGCTCTGCGACACCTTAGGAATAGAATGCGAGTAGATGTTTCTTGGAGTTTTCTAGTTTTAGGATGTCTTTCCTTGCAAAAGGATTCCATATGACCGAACAGTATTCGAGGTGCGGAAGTACGTACGCTTTACAGAGACGTTTCAGTAGTATGGGATTGTCAGTATGAACAGATCGGAGAATTTCAAATAAGACTGAGTACGCACTGTCTACCACATTATCAATGTGATGCGAAAATTCATTATCAATGTGATTCGAAAATTCAAAAATTAATTAATGCTAAATTTTCAAAGTTTTTCCAAAAATCTTGGAGCGAGAGATATTATCCCAATCAAAGTTTGAAAAATCGTCAAAGTTCATTTGAGAGTAAAATTGTCCCTTTCACTGAGTACATCGATACAAGAATGAGACCAATAAGTTTGTGTTTATCGAAAAAGTCATGTAGGAATTCCTATTAATTAAGAAAGATTGGAATGGGAAGATGACATTGTTTTGAATGCCTGCAGTGAATGTACTTTACACTAACGAGTTCATCGCCAAACCATGTCAGTGTTTTGGTACGTATCTTACAATGTCGATTTTTAATTTAAGAATGAATCCTTACATGATTTTTTCGATAACACAAATTTATTGGTCTCATCTTTTCATATCGATGTACTCAGTGAAAGGCGACAGTTTCGGTCTCAATGAATTTTGATGATCTATCGAACTTTGAACGGTAGATCGAGGCGTATAAAAGCGGAAATGCTAAGCAACTTTATCCTTTGTGCATACGGCACTTCTTCATTTACTTGATAATTTCAGCAAAGCTTTTACCAAAATTCTGAGGTCATATTACAAGACGAATTACCATTTGAGTTGACAATCTGGCATCCGATGCTCTTCGCCTACACAAACTCATTTCGCAAAGCAATACACGCACATCTTAAACGCTGAAAAATTTTAAAAATTGAATAATAGTTGCCGGATTTTGTCCTGTTTTTCTGCAAAAGTCATTGACTCAATAATCTATCATTTTTTTGCACAAGCGCGATATAGAAGAACAGCCGTGAGAATAATTTTTTTGGTCCTAAATCTTTTTTCTGTCTGTTGCAAGTGCCATTCGCCATGGCTTCGATTCGTTTTACAAGTTTTAGCAAATTCTTGTATCATAGAGATTCTCAAGGGCATGTCGCGGCTCGAAACGCGAAAATCTGCATAATCAAAGTATTCACTTTGGAGTTCACATAGCCTAAGCGCCTTCACATTTCGTTTAAATCTCGTGAGCGTAATTTGAAGGAGTTATGTCTGTAGAAAACATTTTTTACACGACACACGAATTTTTGGCGAAATTCTTCACATAACTAAAATTGTCATAAATTTAAGTATACCTACAGCGACATGTAATTCCACTGACCATTGCTTTCTTAGAGAAAGGAATCAAGCCTTAGTTCTAGAAGTAACCTCAATATTCTCAGCTGCAAAAAGAAACTCGAAATGCTCGTCAAATCGCTTCGCACTATGGTAAAAATGTACCCTTTACTGTAAAGCAAAATAAGTCATTAAAAGCGGCGTTAATTGTAATGTTGTCACAAAGGCTCTTCTGCTCACTCATCCTTGTTGAATATCTAACAAACATAAGCTTATCAAGCTGGCTGAATAGCTACAAAAAATGTGTTTCTAAGATTATTATGTACCGCTCATAATTAGAAATAAGTGATGAGTCATAACAGTAATTTCTCCTTTGCCACTTGAGAAACGATATATATACAGGGTGTCCCAAAAAAATGTATCGAACGTTTGGTTGTTGATATCTCTCTTCCCAAGAAGTCTTTTGCCTTGCTTCAGGTACCGTTTTGTAGAGCTGGCTTCAACTTAGATTTGCAGTATAGAACGTTTCAGCCATCTCTCTTCATTACTGTATTATTACGGTAGAAACTTGAAACATATGGTGTCAATGCGGAAAAAGCTGCCGTTTCAAAATTTTTCAAAAAATTGTGAAAACTTGTGTAATAGGGTTTTTATGAACGCTGAGTTCAATACTCAACTACTCACAAGATTACGAAGCTTTGTGAACGGTGTAAGCGCACTTTTTGAAAACATTGAAAAAAGGCCGCTACCTCTTACCTGGCATAAATCTTCAATGAAGCATCATAATAAGTTGGGAACTTTGCAGTTAGAATCAAAACTTGAATTAGCCTTGTGTGAAAGCTTTCAGCCTGCTTTGTTTCTTTTCTGAGGCAAAATTTGGCCTTTCATTGCTCAAAACCCTCTTTGAAGTTCCTACCGTAATTCTACAGTAATCAAAAGAGATGGGTGATTCGTTTTGTAATGCAAATCTAAGTTGAAGCCAGCTCTACAGAACGGTACCTGAAGCAAGGCAAAAGACTTATTGGGAAGAGAGATATTAACGATCAAACGTTCGATACATTTTTTTGGGACACCCTGTATATTTGCTCAACAAATGAAGTATACAATATTCATACAGTCGATATAAGTATAATGACCTTCTGAACGACTGGAATTTGCGCTGATCTGACGTCTTTATAGAGATTCATTCTTGCTAAGGAAATGAAAAAACTCGAATTTCTTGTCTTCTACTGCTTGTTTAGAAATGATTTCAAACAGCACTAATATTGCTCATCCAGAACGAGCAGATAGAACTCATACTACTAGCTGTGCCGAAGGTATTTTTGGCGACAAAACTAAAAATCGATAAGTCTTCTTACCGCTTCCAGCTATTTGATAAGTACATACTCTTAGATGTTTTGATAATATATGTAGCTTTCTTCGTCTAAGATAATCAGTGGGTCACATGAGACAGCAAGAAATTGTGGAATTTTGATTGCGCGACGAAACTTCTGGCCAGCCTAGTATCAAAAACAATTCAGTTGACTTCGCTAAAGTTCTGTGAATGTTTGCTTATTAAACTAAGAATACACTATAATATCAATTTTCTTCAGTATGATACTCATTCCGGCACTCTTTCTCACTGCGCTTTTGGCGTGTTTTCAAAAGGGAGAAGCGATGGACGAATCCAGCCAGTGGGCCGAGGAAGGGCAAGAAAGGCAACTGAGTGTGAGTGTCTCTTGTTTTCTCAAATGTCTTTGTCGAGCTTGTTCTTTCGTAGTGCGAATCAACATGTCCAACACAATGTAGCCGTCATGACTGGTTCATCGACCTAGTACAGCTCTTAGAAAAAGGACAACCAAGAGAAGCTGTGCAAAGAGCATTGGGAAGGGTGAAAAGGAAAGATGAAGGACAAAAGGCGGGGGGTGGAGGAGGTCGGTGATGCAAGAAGAGCTTGCGTAGCAACAAGAAGAAAAATCTGGAGGTGTATCTGTAGTGTAAATGAACAAAACGTAGTGTTTCGGAGTCACCTCCAATAAACTGTTGCCTAATTGAGCGTTGCTGCATACATCAGAGACTTCAACATATTTGATCTGGTACAAAACTTCATGTGATCAGTATGCGTTTCTTTATTTGAGTTGCATATGCTGTCTGTGCAATGGTTTTGAGGAAGCGCGAGATGGCGCATAGAATTTGCGGATGTAAGTGAGATCGGATCAGAAAAGTAGCGGCATTACCTTCAGGGATGGCTCCAGCTAATAATATTTTCAAGCTAACGTCTTCCTGACGCCGAAAAGCCAGAACTGAATGAGGTCTTTTTTACGTCAAACAAAGTATTTTCTACTCAATGAGTACGAAAAAGAGTACGAGCTACTGTCGAACGAGGAAGAAACACGTGCAAATTCTGATCAACAATTTTCTCACATACACTACCCCATGGATCACTACAAGACCAATTCAGGGAACAGATTGGGACAGATTCAAGTCGTTGTAGTTAACACATTGCTGGCAAGATGACCCACTTGTGGGCATGCAATAACTGCCACGTGGGACAATGTGACTTGGACTGTGTCAAAATTACTATCATTTCAAAGCAAGTTCGTTTCAGAATTTCTCGTTTACGCTGACCCTAAAAACGTCGCTGTTCATGGCTGCTTCTCAAAAATACTGTAGCAATACTGTATATAATGAACTTCGTAATTTTAGTCAAAAATTCTCAACTTCTTCGCAAAAGATTGTCCCACAAGGCAGACAGTTTAAAATGGGTGTTGAATCTGCAAACTGTATTCCACTGATAGCCAAAAGCTAATTTGTTGGTGCTTACGGAAACAAGGCGGGGGGGGGGGGAAGGGGCAACGCTACAAAGGTATACTAGCAATTTGTCTTCAAGCAGATGCCCAATGCCATATGGACCGCATAAACCTACGCATGTCATTCGAAGTTGGTTCTAAACAATTTTTCTACTGATATTTGGGAATCACACATTCGTTGCTGTACTGTTTAATCATGCACAATAACAGACATTTGAGTTAGACGCTTCACAAAAAAACTCTGACACTTTCCTGCATACTGTGAATTTTTGAAAGAGGAACAGGAAGAATATATTATGTAAACATCCGCGGTTAGTTGTATATATTGGCACATTATGCGTTCAAAATGGCTTCAACAGCAATGCTTGTAGCTCACTATAGAGAATGGTGACCTTCTTCATCGCACAGTTCTGTCCCAGACTTTTTTATTTGCATTAGAAGTGCTCTACTAAGGGTTAAGCAGCTGTATTTCTGAATTTTAGTGAGTTCATGGGTCGTCAGCAAACTTTTGGAACCACCGACTATAAGGATTGCTAATCTTGGGTGCTCACATCTTTTCTGTTAGTAATATTTGTCAGGTGAATTTTGAATTATTTTAGCTCAAAAATCTAGCAGCGCCTTGGCGCATACAGAAGGATAAGAAATGCCTTTATCGAATATTATGGAGCCTGACAGGGCAGGTTTTAGCAAAGAAATGGTTCAAATTACAATATCCTTTGATTTGGTATTTGATTGCTTCATGGAGATTAACTTATGATATTTGTTGCACTAGGCTGCTCATTGTTCGTGCATTAGAAAGTGCTTTTTTAGATCTTTCCACACATCAAATTCAATTCATCGTTATAAGATGCCATCAATTCTCATAAGGGAGCATTGCCATGTGAAAAAAGACAGGTTTTGAAAAAGAACGCTGTAAAGCTTTCGAGTGCTTGCGTCTTCCTAAACATGGTTTCTCGCAAAACTCATTACTGTCTAATAGCAAAGGAATTGCAACACCTAGAAACTAAGATCATGGAAAAAGGTCGACAATGAAATTTATGACATTTTTAACTCGTAAATCCAAAGCGGACAAAACTTATGCAGCAGCCTGATATAGGCATCGTACATGTTAATCAACTCGAAGGCAATGTTGCTGTACGACTTTTGACTGTATGGATAATTGCAAAAAGTCTTATATCATGGTCTGCATTTAGCAAACCAAATTATTGGGTCGTCCTCAAAATTTGTGCCTTTTCTCAACCTAATTGACAGGCAATATACACGGACGATGAGCTAGTTGAATGACATTAACATTTCAGCTCCATGCTTTTTTGGCCCTTCAGTCTGCTTTTTCTAGAAAGATAAAAAAAATTTTGTCAAGTCCACTTCTCTGAGAATGTAAGATGTGTGATACATTGAATGCGAGAGTCCTTGATGCAATTAGGATTTCAGATTCCAAAACTTATTTTATACACACGTAAAACTGTTGTGTTGGTTTTACTTGCAAAGCTCTGACGGCCCAGAAAGCAAAATAGCTCTGGTGCAGCTTAAAGTAAACTGCTTCGATAGTTGAAGCTCGAGAATTGATGTTCTACATACAAGATCCAACCTAGCCAAATAAAGAATTTGTTGTTAATCTTTTAGCAGATTTAGAAATTACTCATCAGGAATAAAAACTTCTGCATCAAAATGTTCGGTCTATCTGTCTTATCATAAATTTTTCAAAAGTCAGTATTAGATAAAAATAGATAATATGGACATGGCAAAACGGTGAGTTCAAACTTTGGCGATTATTTGAGTTACAAGCAAGCATTGATTGGGAGCGCAGCACCTGAATTGAGAAAGAAAAGCTATTTTGATAATCGCCAAAACTATGGATTTTGATCTGAAACGACTTATATTTTTGCCTAAGTAAAAATCTCGCATTAGAAGAATAAGAAATATCTAGCATTTCTCCTTTTTATCCTTTGTATTATAGCACGAGTGCATTTTCTCCGCTAGAATATTTCAGTGTTCTAGATTTTTCTGACTTGGAACCCAAATATGAACGAGGTTATGCTAGATTACAGGTTTTCTTGCATGCATTAGAAATTAAGTTCGATGTAGAAACGAACGATGCAAGGAAACTTATGTTGCATTCGGAATAATCAATAATGATCAATATATACCAATAATAATAATAATTAATCAATCTACGGCTGATTCCGCACTTAGTGGTGACTCTGTTAAATCGACTCTAGCTTTCAGGACTTACCCTATTTTCAGGTGTATAAGCCGCACTTTTTCAAATATTCGCCCGGGCTGCTCAGCCGCTTCATTGTGTTTCGAGAAGCGATCCTTATACCGCACGATACTTTCAGGCAATACGCAGCGCACTATAGGGTCCTTTAGATGCGAGGTCCATTGATGTGTTCGGGCTGCTCGATGTAAGCTAGGACCACCCCGCGGCTTATACACCTGAAAATAGGGTACATGGAATTGGTTGTATAGATGTTTCAATAAAGTTATTGAGCGAGGAAGGTTTCATGAAACGTTACCATCCCAGCTGTCTGCTCCACCGAATCTGCGAATCGGCGATAGTGTCACGAAAAAAATAAAGATTATTTTTTGAAGTAGCACTTTTGTGATGCTTCGTACATGTTTCTTCGAAAAAATTTGTTAAGGGCTAGATTCAGTTTTTTTCAATGGATTACTTCAAACTGTGTAGAATAGTAATGAAAAAGTTTCAATACCTTTCATTTCACCAAACTTTGTTTGATGTGACATACATTAAAGGGTACAAAAGGAATTTTAAGGAAATATTAAGGACCCATTCTCGGGGGGGGGGGGGCCCTCCCCCCCTCGGACAGCCACTGGTGGCTTGAAACTTTCCCACGGAAAAATCAGATAAAAATCTATTACGTTTAGTATGAAGCTTTGAATTTGGATGTCAGAACGAACTTATTTATTAGCCATCCCAGTAGATTATAAAAATTAGCGCAAACAAATCGGATCAAACTATCCTTAAAATTTCCTTGAAATTCCTTTTGTACCCAAATGAATTTGAATCTTAAGGAAATTTTGAGGATAGTTTGATCCGATTTGTTTGCGTTAATTATAATCTACTGGGATGGCTAATAAATAAGTTCGTTCTGACATCCAAATTCAAAGCTTCATACTAAACGTAGTAGATTTTTATCTGATTTTTCCGTGAGAAAGTTTCAAGCCACCAGTGGCGGTCCGGGGGGGGGGGCGGGGGGAGGGGGGGGGGCGGGGGACGCCCCCCCCCCCTTCCAGAGAATGGGTCGCGAAATTTTTGAAACTTACCTATATGGATTATAAAAATGTGCAAACGACTTGTTTATTTTTGTAAATAATTAACGTAATTTTTAAAATTTCTTAAAAATTCAAATTAGCCTTATAAAAAAATTTTTTTCGTCGGAGGCGTGGCTGACGCCACGCCCCCTTTTTCCAGATTTTAGGGGTTGGGGACCCGCAAAAATTTTGAGAAGTGCTCTTAAAAATTTTTCGGAGTGAGTGGCTAACGCCACGCACCTTCATTTGGAAAAAAAAATTTCCGCGTCCCCCCCCGGTCCGAAATCCTGGGACCGCCACTGCAAGCCACTACTCTCAAACATCAAGTCAAGATTTTTCGTCGCCAAAAAATGGCAGCTATGCCCTTGTTCAGACTTCCGAAGTATATCTTGCTTTTTTTTCTAGCTTTCATTCTCAGCCAGTGTTGAATACACAGGCGAGTAACTTGGTGTCTCGATATATACAGCCTTTGGCTAAATGGCAAACCATTAACGAAGTTGTGCTCTGCTGTTTGTAAAGTTCGGCAACCGAAAAGCTGAAAAATTCCATGCATTCGCGCGTGGAAGTCATTCTGAGCAATTCAGATCACTCGAATTTGACCGTCTGTGTCCAAGCAAATGGTTAAAATTCAACAATTTGTTGTGTGAGTACCAAATGGTTTCAGAGTGACTTCAATCAGAGCCTGATTTTTCGAAAATTTGAGGATAAAATCTGTAGATTAAACTTTCCTGCTGCATTCAATAACAGAAACTTTTTTTTTGAGAAAACAGAGTTAACCATTCAATTTTACTTGATTTTCTCTTTCCAGTACTACCTTATGTACACACAAAAACTGATTTGTGACATTTTTACACAAAACTAAACTTTTTAAGACTCAAAAAAACTTAAATACGACACAACTTATTTCCTAGCCAACCTAATAAAATTGAAAAACAATAGATATTATT